ACTTTTTATGACTAAAACGATCATTATCTTATTTATCTGAGAAATAAAAGAACATGGATAAAAGTACTTACCAATAAGGCCCCATTCGCTTTTCGGAAAGTTACTTACCCATGTTCTTTTATTTCTCAGGTAAATAAGGTAATGGCCATTCTAGTCATAAAAATCCATTATTAAAAAGGGCATTTTTGTCCCATTCAAGTGTTAACAACTTTCCTCCTAGGTGGGAAAATTATTTACCCACCTAGGAGATGTGTATCAGTTACCTGGGTATTAAGTGATACCTAGAAAAATAAACTTTCCCTACTCCCCACATTAATCTGAAAAATGAACATGAGATTCTTAGTCAATGGGAACCAAAGTCCTAGTGACCAACTTTCCCCCTCTCAAAATCCAAAAAAAGAACACCCCCTAATTTATCAAAAAGTGAATAAGGCCTAAGGGTGATTCAAATTCCTTTTGTCTATAATTGGATTAATTATGGATTCACCCCTGTCCGATTAATATCATCAACCCCTATATGATATTATAATCCAATTGTATTCGCTAACCCATTGGTTAAGTCTAACATGACTCAGATGCAAACTACATCTGATTGTCTGAGTTCCAATTGGAATATAATTTAATATAATTGGATTCACTTTATCTAAATCTGATTGGATTTGACATATATACTTAAAAAAGTTATATTGTATCAATTAGTAAAGTTGGGTTAATATCATGTTTTCACTGCCAAATTGTCATAGGTTCCAGTTTCATACATGAAAATTTCAAATCATTTTGTTCATGAAACACAACATCAGAATACTTTTAGTTAATTTTATTAATAATATATATAATATTTCGATCATCGTTTTTAATTTATTTTGTTTATGCAATTTGATATCTATTACAATCTGAAATTGACTGTGGTGTAGCGCGATCTAGTCACTCCTACCTGGCAAGGGCCTTGCTCCTAGCTGGTAACGGACAACACCTGAGAAGGAGAAGAAGATGAGGGATTCCCGGGGAGTTCGCCCGGTGGGAACACTTCGATGCTTAAGTTAGAACTCGATGGGAAGCTTAGAGAGTAGTAAAGGAAAATGAGCTAAGAGTGGAGATGCGCAATTCGTAGAAGTTACCTTGCCCCTTGACAATCGGGGCCTTTATATACTGATGCTCTGTCAAATCAGGTGTAACCGCCTTTGATCCTCTGCTATAGCTGTTATTCGTCAGGCTGATTCGATTAGTGCAGGTAACTGTCGTAGAGTACGGTCCTGTCAGCTGAGAGACGTTATGCAGAGCTGGCGTGCACGACACCGCCTGACGAGAGACGTGGGCGCAGTCCTTTGGACTGGCAGGTGCTGTGCCGCCTGACAAGAGACGTGGCAACAGTCTGACAGGCACAGTCTTGTCGGATAAGAAGCTTTCCGAAAACTTCGGGTTGCTCAATAGTGAGCTCCTTTGTAGCGAACTGCCTTGCAGCAAGCTGTTTTGTAGCGAGCTGTCTTGTGGCGATCTATTATGCTGGGGTTTCAGCGAACTCATTACGCCGAGTTATGGCCAAACTGTCCTGCTGAACTGTCACTTACGTCGAATCATGTCCACGTGTCACCTGGTTAGGTCAAATCACCCTCCATCAGACTGGAATCCTATACATAAGATTTGAGTCGAATTTGGAACTAGTTATATCCTATTCGATTTGATCCATTTGTAGCCCTAAACATAGCCATAATTTCTTAGCTTGATGTGAGATACAATTAATGTTAATTAATAAAGTCTAACAATTGGCACACTATGCGCATACGTTGGAACTCCCTTTTCAAAATTTAACCAGAATCAAAGTTAAACACAACTTTCAACTATGGATTGGCTTAAATACAGTAAGAAGATATGTTTAATGCTATAATCCAAAAAACAATTGGCTGATCAGACACAAAATTGCCACCCAATTGGGTCCATCAGCCTAGTTTTCGTGTGGGATTGGTTATTTATTTAATCTTTTTGGTTAAAAGGTGCGAAAGTGGGATTGCTTAATTAAAGTGTCTTTTTCTTGTAGGTTATGATCTGTCACATTGTTTTTAAGCACCACAAAGAAAGAAGTCAAGTCTGGTGTGGGAGAAGAGAGACATTATCTGAAGCAACTTGAGTCAATGATTTTCCAAAAATGGATACTTCAATTATTTCTTCCATGACTCTCTCTCTCTGCTCAAGCTTATGATGCAATGGGGATTTTTTATGATTTAATCACTTAAATGGGGAGATGCTACACGAACACGATAAGTGCAACAAAGGAGTTTGGAACTCACACAAGGAACAAGACAGCACAATGGGTTCCATGTGTCGGCCACATAGTCCTTCTGTGAGGTGGCAAGTTTCAGTCCAATAGAACATCACACGGCCAAAAATAAACACTTTTCCAGTACATGAAACTATTGGGAAATAGTCCACGCATACAAGCTATAGCAGCGTGTATAGGCCGATTGACATGGAACAGGACTTTTCACCGGTCAAGAGTTTCACAAACGAAGGTGCTAAGATGGGAGTTCACATCTTGGTTATTGAACCGCCGTTGATTCGGATGGTTGGATTATTTGGCCCAGGAATCGTCCAGGCAATTGGTTCTGTTGTACCTCAAACTCGGCCTCTAGCAAAAAATCATTGAAAAAGTCAATGACCATTGATCCGAGAGGTCGATCCATCGACTCGTTCAATGGTTTTTGACTGTTTTTTTTTTAATTTTTAATTTTTTTGTCAGAATGGGCCACTCCATTCGAACAGGATAGTGAGACCATCGACCCGAAAACCGGTGGCCAGAATGGTTCCGTTTCTGGGTCGTTTTTTAAAACCATGGTTTACATTGACACCCCACAGAGCATGGAGTCCGAATCTGCTCCTCACACCGATGTCATAGGCATAATATATTTGAGCCGCACATTCGAAACATCTCCATCCTATACTTATATATTATTATTCATGGGAGATGTTTCCAATACAAGGTGGGATGTGATTGTGAGCTTGGTGTGAATATCGTTATGTTAAGAGCAGTCCCAGTTCCAGCTACATGCACATTTCAGCATGTATTGAGAATATCTCCCGTATTTATATTTTATTATTGGGAGATGTTCTCAATACATGATTGGGATGGGCTGTGCAGCACCCATGGGTTGCACTCTGTGGAGCTCCGAAGCAAATTCTTAAGATGGACTGCTCTAGGTCATGAATCAGATCAAGGGTTTTACAATATGGACCGCTGGCTTAACCGTATTTCCATTCATATCAATATCAATGGGTCAACCTGTGATGTCATTGATACAGATATTTCCAAACTAAAACGATATAATAATGAAACCTTGGTAACCCATTGAAAGGATCACCTCGGTCAATGGTTCATACGGGTCATTGAATGAGTCAATGGGTCTTTTCTGTTGGTCCAATTAAACCAGGGTTAATGTAACCGGCTCACCAAATAACCAGTTTGATAACCCGGGTCAACTATGGTTTAAATTTTAAAAACAATGCTTATGCTATGCTTAATTAAATTTAGCTTCACCTCTTGGAAATGCGAAAACTAGTTCAGCCATCAAATTCACCTGTTCTGAACAGTGGACAGCACCTTGGAACCACGCTGTTGGACTGTGAGAAATTGGTTGGTTTCATTAATTTCAAAAAGTTTTATTTTTTATTTTAAGCTGTATTTTTTAGGTGCCACATCACCGTCTATAAGAGCATATTCTTCAGATTTTGCTGCATCTTAAGTCCATATCCTTAGATGGGTAGTGTTCCACAATGACAAGAAAAATTCCTTAATTCTTTTGCTTTTGCTGGAGCCAAGGTCCAGGCCACAAAAGAAAAGTGACCATTTATGTACTTGTTTGGCTAGTCATACACTGTGATCTATCTCAGTCATCTGATTTGATTTTATTAGATTAGCTTCTTTATCCTATCCAAGAGATACCTCCGTTTGAATCCAGCAAGCAATACCACTTTGGGAGAAATTCAATGGCGTGATTGTAGGACCATTTTCATCATTAAGACTAGGGACTTCACCTATATATGAATCTAAAGTAAAATGAGTGGCTTATTCACCCACCAATGAAAAGCAAAAAAGTAAAATGGGTGGCTCTTCTTCATTTATGAGTTAATAATTCATCATGATCAAGTCCTGTTGAGGGGTTGGGATGAATCAAATCTGGGTCAAATCCTTTGAAGTAGGGTACCTGATTGTTTGGATTAGGCAATGGAAACAGAAGTGAATTAATTATTATATTCATATAATTCATCCAGGTCCCAACTCCCAAAGGAAATAGAGATTTCAAAATGAATAACCTGATGTGGTATATGTTTCAGATCGCCATTATCGAGGGATTTGAAAATGATTAACTAGCCCTATTAATTTTGGATTCTAGAATCTAGAGAATTTATTGTTCAAAATCTGATTCTAGTAAGAATCAAAGGCATTTGTTCTGGATTCAGCATACAGATCCTATAATCAACTTTACAACCAGGCCCCATTGTAGAATCTACCTGCAAACCGACTTTGGGTTTTGGGAAATGGATTTTGACAGATTACCAAAATCCAAATTATTTAGAAAAAAAATTCATGGGATGAGTTTCAGAATATGTATTCTTTGCCATTTTCTGATTATAAGCTCTGCACGTAGAATTTGAGCCAAAATAATCCTGAATATTCGAAAAATAATTAACAAGGTGCAAGTGAAACTGATTGGTTCTCTCAACTTCGCCTGTAGACGTAGCTGAAAGTAGTGCAATATAATTCCCCTCGGTTTGGATTAGATTTGTTTTCATGTTTCTTCTTGATAATTCTTAGTTAATTATCACAAGTTTTCTTTTTCAATTTTTCTAATCTTATTCATCTCTCCCCAATACTGTCGCTTCAATATGAAGTTGCTCTACTGTCAAAATACTGATTCAGATTCTCCATGTGAGATATTTCAACCACACCAATCAGGAGGAGATAAACACACTCTGACAAGTGTTTTCTGATAAATACACATGGCTATATAAGCATTATTATTTCCAAAACACATACAATTGCCAGTGTTCTCACACCTGCTAAGCTGAAAAAGGATCTGAACTCCCACGCTACTTGTTTCCAGAAAATCCAAGATTTCGAGTTTGAAGGTCTAAACATCCACAGTGGCATTTGCAGAGAACAAGAGGCGGTGTCACCGGCTCTCCATGTCTAATTGAAGCAAGAGAAGAGATTTTAATATTACAAAAGAGAGAAATGTAATGAAAATATCAATTATTGGTCTTTATTAAATGACCAGAATATATCCTCGCCACTTGTTTCTCAGATTATTCATTAACAACAGTCCTATATTTAACTTCCATGATCAGTTGATCACACTGTCAATATCAACAGAAGGTATTGATCACAACCCCAAGCACTCGTAAAATCATTTCTCTGATATGCTTCTCTTCCCTCATCTATTTCACATGAAATCATCAACCAAGAAAGTTGAAAACAAAAAATATAATCTAGCAAAAGGAAGAAAAACTTAGAAGAAGTAATTCAAACTTCAAAGCCTAAGAGACAGGTCTAGGTGGTTGAATTCTTCTATCTGGACGTTCTCAGGCCTCTGGATGCTGGACCAAGGGCCTTCCATTCCGGCAGAGATGTAACCCATTTCTCTCCTCTCATAACCAACTTCACCACTGAACCTTTCTACATGGCGTTGGTGCTCCAAGTCGGCAAAGGGCGGCTGACTGCGTCGACTATCAGCCCCTGATCGATGGCTCAAAGCGGCATGTGGTCGTACAGCTGAACTCAACTCCCGGCTTCTCTTGGCTAGGCTGCGCTCCAATTTGTGAGCATTTTGGTGACCACCCAAAGCTTGTGAGCTGTAGAATTTTCTCTGGCAATAGTTGCAGGAGAAAACTCGAGGCTCGTTGGGACCAAGGGATGATGATGAAGATGAAGAGGATGGTTCGAGGACGAGCTCCAGGTTGAGATCTTGGTTTGACAAGGTGAGATCTATTGAAGAGTTGGGCTCTATTTCCATGGTTATAGCTCAAGTGGAGGGAAGGGATGGTTTGAGAGAGAGAGAGAGAGAGAGAGAGAGAGAGAAGTGTAGAAGTATAAATGGAGGAGAAATCTTGATATGGGCAATAGGTCTACTAATCAATGAAAAAGAAATAAAAGATGGGAAAAGAGAGAGATGATTGAGTGGGTGGGTGGATGGCGGTTTGGGTGCAATAGTAGAAAGAAATAAATCAAAGAAGAGGATACAATTGACAAGAAAAGATGAGATGGGGTCAGTTTGATGGAGGAGATAAGAGAGGTGTTGTCTTGCGTTATATGAGATGCAACGGTCTACTGTTCCTGCAACCACAAACGGAAAGAAGAGTGATACAAAGTGATGGCCTTGTGGGTGAGTGAGAGAGGATAGAGATAAAATAGAGAAAGAAAGATAGAAAAAAAAGGGGGAAGAGGAGGACAGAAACCTGCAAAAACCATTGGGGAATGAAGTGTTGTCGTCTCCATTTATGGCACCATTTGAACCCATTGTCGGTCCATAGAAAAAAATTCCATGGAGATTCCGTAATTTGGCCAAATCCAAACAAGGTTTTTATCTTTTTTTTTTTTTTTTTTTTTTTTTTTTTCCATTTCTCAACCCCTTCTTAATTACCTTCTATCTCTTCTAGTCTATTCTAGTCCATTTTCCATCCACCCATCTTTCCCTATCTCTTCATCTATCTATCTATCTACTTTACCTATGTACTTAATCCGTCCAATCAAACCTGGTTTGGGTTTCGTCTTCTTCTTTCCACTAGAAATCTACAAAGATTTTTCATTGAGGATGGATTTCTTTGTTTGGGTACTGATAAAAAAAGCCACTGTTTGACGATACTGAACGCGCAAACTGCAAACATGATAACAGATCGAACTTATATCCTTTGACGAACACCGGCCCAGCATAACTGGTCGATCTAAGCTGATAGAAATGAGGGTAAATCGACTAAATTCTTATGGAACTTTACAAAATTCCTCAACTCTCTAATTCTTTATTTTATTTTATTTTCTATTAAACCAAACACAACCTTAGAGGTAAGGTGCCAATGATGATCTGTTAGTGGAGGTTAGGTGGTCACGAGGTATCTCTATTCAAAAGGGGATTTGGGTTGCTTTCCACTAATATTGTACATGTTACCTCGATGGTGAGGTAGTAGATCCCTGTAAATTATCTCTATAAACTATCTGTTTTTTTCCTTTTCTTTTTGCTTCGACTGTAGTTCCTTCTAGTTTTCATCTCCTTTTAGGCTCAGTTTGGAAGGAGTACAAATACGAAAACGTACAGTATAAATACATTCAAAATAATACAAAATACAAGAATTTGTACTCTATATATTTGTATTTGTACTCTTTCCAAACTAAGCCTTATCAAAAACGTATAGGCTATGTTTGTCAAGATAGAACCCGGCAATAAATTGGGCTGATATCAGACAATTGTACATGGGAAAAGTATTTTGTACTTTGTGGGTGGCTTTGTTCTAAGAAAAAAAGGAACAAATAAATGGTGCTTCATTCCCTCCCCATGTCCAAACTCTCTAAGGATAGCCGTATACCTCAAGAATCAGATGCTTTTAAGGGTTTGTTTGGGACATCATCAATTCGTTATTATTATTATTATTATTGTTATTGTATTTGGAGATGAAGGAATGAGGTTATGGAATATTAATAAATTTTGAAAAGAAAAAAGCCTAGTATTTTACAAAACTAGGCATTAAAATAATGAAAAGAACATCAAGGTACCTTCTTTGGGGGCCTTTTTTCTTTCTACTACAAGACATTAACAACACCAAACAAGAACCAAGAGAAGATATATAGTCCAGGTATTTCACTCACTAAACAATCTACATTAAGAAGTTTACGTCACATATACATTATGGATTTGAGGGGACCAACACCCTCAATTCTCCTGCACATAACCTTCACATAAAGAGGATAGATGAACAGTGCCTTCAAGTAACAGATCTAAACAATAACATTCAATAACAGAAACCATGATGAACCTACAAGCAGAAAATCCATCCCATGCATAGAATTAATGATCATAATTTCATGACCATCCCATCTATCAGTGAATCAAATAAACAAATAAAAATAAAAAAGAGGAATCCATAGATCAGAAGGCTTCACTAGTGAATAAACCAAAGGTGGGTCCACACCCTTGTATGTATGATCATATCAAACCCATCTCTCTCCTCAATGCAGTGAAAGTTGTTACCCCAAAAAAAAAATGCAGTGAAAGTTTACCACAGCCTTGAAAGAAAGCATATACTGATTGGTAATTTATTAAATTCAAGAAAGACGGGAAAAAAAAGAAGAATCAATCTGTACAAGGAGCGGTGTTCTCTTATTCGACAGCAGTAGGATAAATGTGATATCTTAACCTTGTAGGTCGGCCATTATTGCTGAGAGTCTTGTCTCTCCAACCAGAAACACGAGACAGAAAAAGTTAAGACTGTTGCATTTGCATTATAGTTGGTCATGAGATTCTAAGGCAAACACGAAACGAAGCTAATTAATCTTTAATAAACCATTTAACAAACAACTCAAATGGGATGCTTTTCTTTGACCATTCAAATTCAAAATTGTTTTTTCATTTCTTTATAGTTGAGAAGGGAATAATTGCTAGAGGAAAACAAGAGAGAGAGAGAGAGGAAACAAGAGAACGGGAATACGGATAAGCACAGCAGAGAAGAGAGAACTTACATGGGAATACCAGATGTAGCTAATCAGGAAGAGAGCAATGACGAGGGAGCCTCTGGTTTTCCCAATTTGGGAGGGATAGATGTTTACAGTTTGATCAGATTTTTTTTATTGGGATTTGCGAAGGTGAAGAAGGAGAAGAAATAGAAAATGCTCTGATGTGGAGAATGGAGCATGAACATGTTTGGAGTTTGTCGGATTTTATAAACATTTACTGAGTGTATTTGGAGGTACTAGTTTCAGAGAGACGAGTATTGGTTCTCTTTTTGGTCTACACGTGGATAATGACATGTGTTGTGCTTTTATATATCCTCGATACACCTTTCCTGCTTATTTCTTTTGCATCCACCTCACCTCCATTCCCTCCCCCTCATCTCCAAATAGTATTCTTTCTTTATTTTATTTTGGGTTAAATATTTAACTATCCCCTGTGGTTTCTTGACATATACTTAAAATATCCCCCTGATTTTTTAAATGACTTAAGCATCGTTATAGAGTGACCTAATAAGACAAATACTACTCCTTTAATGGTCCACATTTTTCGTTCCCATGTGACATTGTGTGCCTGTTTTAAAATTTTGAAAACCCAATTTTACTTTTTTGTAATCATCCTATCATGATCAGCTTTTCATCACTTAGCCTTTTCCTTTTTACTAAATTTTGAATTCAAACGCTTCATAATTATTTAGATAAATTTAGTTTAGAAAATTGATTAATTCTATCCCTATTGTTATATATTGTCTTAAATTATCTTTTAAGTTTTTTTTTTTTTTGACAATTATCATCGTCGTTAAATTGTAATAATAATGTTGAAATGTCACTTTTGCCTTTCTATTAAATATTGTCAGTAGTCGCATGTTAGAAGAAATTATGTTATTGACCTTCGGTGGTTTAACACATAGACGACCCCGAAATATTCATTTGTCAAGAAAGAAAACCCGTCGTTGTTTGAGTAGATAAGGCACTCCATTACCTAGTGCAAACGGTCACTGCTGCAATTTCCGACCGGCGGTGAAGAAGAATGTTTCATGTGGAGGTGCGGTGAAAGAAAACGAGGCTTAGCCTTTTTAATGTCAACCCGATTGTCTTTTTATGTTTTGTCTTACCTACAATTTTTTATGTGCTTTGAAGTGAGGTCTGCCGAAATAATAGTTGTTTATTGCTTTGCTTTGCTTTGCTCAAATTCTTCCATCACTAAGGTATGTACAGAGTATGCTTAATGGTTTACCTTTTTATGAATTGTTTGTGCTCCTATTGCTTGTGGGGGGCTAGTCATAGAGATTCGTGGCTGTGATTGCCGCTTAATGGTTCACAACCCCTCTTGGTTGGGTTAAAATGGTTAGGGTCATGGAGACCATTTCAATGGTGTCTTAAAGGGTTATGTGGTGTGCTTGGGACCTGTGTTTGCTACGATGCACACATAGGATCCACACATGAGTAACTCAGTTGTACATGGAAAATGTTGTTAAGAGTAGTGACCTATTGGTTTACCTAGCACCAGAGGTTCGACTTAATGCCCAAACCGTCTAGTGTGTACAATTGGCCTTTGTGATCAATAAACTCATATAGGTTTACCACTTAACGTGACCCAACAATATCCCTATTCATTCATGTAAGAAATTATACGGAAGACAATTACCTAAGATGATCATCTAAAATAACTTCAAATTGAGTCTCCATTGTTTTGTGCTATATGTTTGGTTACAGTTATCTTTAGAGAGTGGGTCAAACAAGAGCTGGATGTCTGAATGACATTTAGGTCAATCCTAAGATCCATCAAGCTCTAGTTAGAGGCGGTAACCTACACCCCAAGAAATCCATTAGTTTCCAAGTTATTCATGTTGTCCTAGTTTTTATGACTATGAACCAGTTGCATTTTCATTGTATTAAATATTATTGCTTTCTCAAACCCTAAACATCTATTCTACCTTATTTATGTATCCCAAAAATGCCAAATAGCTCTAGATGAAATATCTTAACACCCTCAATTTTTTAATATTTTGGTAATCTAATTCCAATATTTTTTTGGTAACAAGTATGAAATTTTATGTCAATATATAAGAATAAATACAAGCCCGGAGTAAGATCATGAAGCCAAAAGTTGTCCAAACCCAAGAAAATAGATTACCTAATGCTCATACATCTAAATTGGTAGATCTCAGAATTCATCTAAACAAGTAATTTGATTGACTCATTAGTATACATTGGTACTATAACTAATGAATTCATATGCTTGTTGAGTTATTTCCAAGTAAAATTTCCTAGTGGTTCTTAATGGGTGTAACATTGAGTTACCTCCAAGTAAAATTTCCCAGTCTTCCATTCATACGACACAGACCGACTTTTGGGTGTAAAATTTCCTAGTGGTTGTACTTTCTAACATCATCAATGCATGTAGGCATTTATTTTTTATTTTATTTTATTTTTGCATGGTAGGCTCTTATGATGGCCAAAACCCATACAAGATTAGGTAATTGCATGCTAACATGGAAGGGACAAGTGAACTGTTTAAGTTGTGTATTTGAGTTATCTAATTCCTATAAACCTGGGCTCCAGCATTAGTTGTGTATTTAAGTTGTCTTGACAATTAGACTGTTTAAAATGTAATCTTCAGTTTTGACATTTCTTCCTATTTCTCTTTTGACAGTGGCTGAATTTGTGTGTTTTCATCATGTAGGTAATGGATGGAGGTAGATATATGTTCATTATCAATTATGGTGGTCAAAGGAAGACCACAAATGAAAAGTTGTCATATGTCAACGTAAAGTGGGATTTGTGGATAATGTTGATAGTGATTGGATATATTACATTATATATTTTGAATGACTTCTGCAGATTGGGTGAGGTACCTCCTTGGAGTATGGTGACCAT